TTCAACCCTGAGCTTGGCTCTACATCTACAGCTGTGTTTCAACGACAACAGGTGCAGTTTGAAAGAGATAGTAGTGCTGAAATTACCTTCTTTGGAATAAAAAATGACGCTCAGCAAACTGGTTTCATCGTTAACCTCCCTCTGCACGAGAAACTTGATCCTGTAAGAGCTTTGCAAATGTACATGGACCGAACAGCTCCCATGTGTCCTGCATTGAATGCAGTGTTCCTCACCCTCAGGATACCAATTCATGCTCTTGACTCATGTTCTATTGCAAAAATTATGGAACAAGGTATCAGTTTGGTGGGTTTATCTGGTTCTGGGTACACCACTAAATCCTTTAGGCTCACTTGAGCTACAGCTGCAATAGACTACAATAGACTGGATCCAACTATCGTGCAGCCACTTGTCAGATGGAAAACCTCTGATGTTTTCTACAAGCATTATGTCCACTCCTGCACTCCGCTCTCATACGTGAACAACCTATTACCTCTCAGTTAGGTTTTGATGAATCAAGTTGGTGTTATTGTACATTGCAATTTTTCTAACGTTTCATTGACTTAGATGTTACGTTTGTTGATGTTTCTCTATAGTGTGGCAAATTATTATGTTTAACAAATTTCACGTTTGAAATTTGGTGAATAAATTCACAATTTAACTTTCAGTTGTTTGTAATGACTGGTCATAGTGATGTAAGTTTACCTAAAATGAACTTTTTAACATGCTGTACTACGATTAACGTTCATGATCTGTCACAAGCTATTATGCTCCCTTGTGCTGCGACACATTCTGGTGCGTTTGGTGTGCTTTCCTTTAAATTGTGTAATGCAGCCGGACGAAATTCAATGTGATCCAACTGCAAGCCATATCACAGTATCTTTTTGTCATTTTCATTGTAGTATAAAGGAAACGGCTTCAAACTCATGCTGTCCAAGAACCTGAAAATGAAGCAGCCCCAAATCCAGATGCCTCAGAGAGAAAAGCAGACACTACTTCTGTCACAGAAGAGATGGAAACGGACCCAGAACCTGCCAGCCATGGTGAACCATGACCTACCCAAAAATAGAGAGTCAATACAGAGTATTTAGACATGCAGAAGGAGGAGATAATGGAATGGTTGCGGAACAACCCCTGCATCTACACTAAACAGATGGCTGACTATAAAAACACGAAGAAGGATCAACTATGGGCTGGACTGGCAGGACAAATGGAATCGACTGTGGAAGAACTGGAGGACAGGTCTTCTACAAGAGCATCCGTTAAAGGATGCAATTGCACAGGCAATATCTCCAGACTCAGTTCCAGATCCAGCAAAAGTTGTCCTTGCGGCACCCCCTGCGATTGAGCCAGATAGTCCAGTTACTTCATAAATAACACCGACATCGACCATCTCTAGTGCTGCAACTGAGCCCAACTCGATGGTCCTTTGTTCCCTGCTCCAGGACTTCTTGACGAAAAAAGGAACAACCAGTCATTTTGGCAGTTATGTGGAGTTAAGACTGCGGGCGTTCGGGCCATCACAGACGAGAGGCTGAGATGAAAATCATACAGGTTCTGAACAAGGTGGAGGAAAGAGGAGAGCGTTGGAATGAGCGGCCACAGTGGCAACAACAATACCAACATCCTCCGTAGCAGTATCAGAGTTCCCAGCAGCAGTTCCCAGAACATCAGTAGCAGCCGCATCCTCAGCACTGGCAACCAGTGCAGGGGTTCCCAAGACGCCCAGTGGATGAATCAGCAATACTCCACACAGAAGTACACCAACCTCACCCCTGTGGCAACCACAACTTCCACACGTGATCAGACCCAATAGCAGACGGAGTCTGAATGCCTGAACCTGAGTGGTTTCATGAGAGACATTCATACTAGCACGCCTAGTGGACACCCATCTACGGAAAGTATGAATCTGAACACTTCCATCAGAGAAAGTGAAAACAACGAAAAATGGACTGTGATTATTCCGAGGTGTTATACTCACAATGATGTCAAGTCAAGAAAAGTCATATGGACTATGTTGCAACAAAAACATTATTTTCCCAGTACATGAAAGTGATTCTGCAAAATACCAAATCTGAAGCCCTTTCAATAGGGCAAATACTCAGACCGGAAACCGAAGTATTGTGGGTTGCTTGGCAAAGTACTGTGGGTAGGATTGTTTGATATCATAATGTATATATGTAGAATATTGTCGCTTGTATATTATTAAAATACTTGTAATGCAAGTTGTATTATATTCTAAAAGAAAATCTAAGTTAGGGATAACTGTGACAGAACGTGCAGTGTTTGCCGTACCTGTGTAACTGGGGTAAGTTGGTATCGAAGACCAAGGTATAGAGGTGTAAACAAACGATAGAGACGCGTGGTACAAGCGTGTATATGAATGTCTAAAATGGACTAGCCTAGCTATGAAGGTGGGAAATGTCTTTGTTGCATAAACTCTTAAACAAGTTATGCATATTTATGCAAACAATGAAAGTTTATTTTGTCAATAAATGACAGTCATTCAGTTTTGTGATACACACTGACTTTGTTGTAATGAAAGTATATTTTCTCAATAAATGAAAGTCATCAAGACATAATGAGTCCTTGTTGTTCTCAAGAATTGAAAGGTTACAGAGAAAATGATGTATCTTCATTATTGAAACAGATCAGCATTATCATGGTCAAGCATCTTTTAGCTACAGAATATTCAGTGGGACAAATTGTTCAGGAGATCATCTGTTCCTGCCATGGAACAGCCCCTCCAACATTGAATTACTTCTTGAGGTTCTCTGTCTGCTGTTTTGCATATTCACTTACTGTATTCCTGTTGAAAAAACCTGGTTGTGGCACTTCCTTCCACTTCGCCTCTTCCCTCCCTCTGTCCTCAAACTCTTTGGCCTTTGCTTTCGGTGTTACAGGAATATTGAAAGCCTCAACTTTGCAGGCCTGAACAATGGCTCTGCATACTTCTGGGATTGCAGATAAAGTATTTACTATATTTGAAGTTGTATGACAATGAAGGGTATTCATCACCAGTGGCCAGGTGTCTCAGGGTAATGGCAAGCTTCAGCCCTGGTGTAAGTGGCTCTGATGTGTTGTCAGTATGTCATCAAATAGATCTGCATGTAGTCTGAGAAAGTTGGTGAATGAGGTAGGGTCTTCAGGTCTACACTCTCTGTTATAAAGTTGATGATATTGTCCAAACCCTCTCCTTCAGTCATCCATGGTCTCACCCACCACTTTCTAACCCTTTAACGTTTCCTATTTCTTCCCTGTGTCTCATACTTTCAAGTGCGTGGATATAGGCATGAAGTAAATAAGTAAATGAGTCATCTTCATCTAATACAGGTATCCATGTTGTCTCGATAGAGTCACTGGACAAAGTAACGAAAATCAATAAATTACCTTCTTTTATACCAATCGGGTCACAATCGTGTTAAATGGCCCTTTTTTGTCTAAATAAAAGGCAACAAAAGGTAGCAGATCATTATGAACATCTCAATACATAAGAAATTGCAACAGATCTTATACTCAAATCATAAACAGTTGCTACAGATCGTCTAATATTCATAACAGATCTTCATTGAAGAGTAACTGATCGGATATCCAATCGTAAGAATATGTATCAGATCCTCTCAGTGCCTATGAAACCGTAAAAGAGTGTCAAGAAAGGGAAAAGTATAAAAAAACATTTCACGATCATGAGGATCTACTACGATAGTTGGTTCGCGCCTAATCGTGGCCTAATCGTGACTTAGTGTAAACGCAGCATGAGATATTATGGTGCAAATTTCCTGAACCAACTGGAAGCCAAAGGAGATCTCTTAGAAGTCGTGAAGTATGAGTGAATTTGGATGATCTGAATATATTAATCCTTGCAGCTGTATATTGAATTGCTTGGAGTATGTGTTAAGAGTTCTTTGTTACATTGGCTAAGAATCTTTTATCAGATTTGGTTGTAGCTTTCAATAGTACGGAGATGGTAAGTGGCTGGTTTGCACATTCAGGTCACTTCATGTTTCATGCTCTGATTCTGATCAGACTCCCAAAAATGCAGCTGACCCTTGTTTGTATGACCTTGAGGTCAAACCTTAGAGGTCGAGCTGACCTTTTTTGCTTTCTTAAAAGGACATGTCAGGGTGGAAGTTGAATGTCATCCAAATGAGTGTGATCCACTGACCCTTAACCTGATCCAGAAGAATGAATCACAATAAATGCTTGTCTGGCAGATTACTGAGTGTTGATGTTCAATGTAAAGAACAAATCTGATTTCTCCCATAATATGTGGGACGGGGCCAGATCAAATCAGCCCATGTGTTGCACCTGGGAAGATTGGTAATTCGAAGAAAAGCTGGTAGTTTTGGAGATAAGCCATAAAAACACACATCTCTGTCAACTGCATCAAAGTCAAACTTGTTGCCATGGAAACAGGAACAATAAAACTTCAAGAAATCCCTGTACAGAAAAAGACACCAGCCCAGATAGCATTCGGAGTTGGCCCAACGTTGGCAATGTTGGCAAAACCATTGCCAACGTTGGGCCAACATCTGAATGCTATCTGGGAGCTGGCAACCTGTTCTGTGTATGCAAAGTTTAGTGGATGAGTTCCTATTTGTTTTCAGAAATTATTATGGACGGACAGACAGACAGACAGGCTGATTACTATATCCTCCCTCCATATGACAATACGGGTGATAACAGAAACAGTTGTTGCATTCCTTTCTGCAGAATGTGACCACAGAATAACTTTCGACCAATGAACCTTACATTTACAGGTATGAAACAAAATAGATTCCATGAAAAATTTAAATGATATTTAAAGTCTTTAACAGATGTTTTCATTTGTAAAGCATGAAAAGTCTATATGAGCTGCAAATGTTTCAGAAGGCGTCAACAGATGACAAAATATGACAGTGTTTAGTGATCCCTTGGCAAAAGCTCATTTGGGCAAGAAAAATGCCCATCTGCCCTCATAATCGTGATAATAAGAAGACTCACATGGCTACAATATGGCTCACCTCAGCGTATCTGAAGAAGAGGTAAAGGATCTGCCACAGGAAAATGACTGGACACAACAGGAAGTTACACACACCAAGCCACAGAATCTTTGATGCCAAGCTGGAACATAACATAAAGGTAACATGAATAACACACTATTAGGAAATTCACAAATTCTTGGAAATACTAATTTCAAATATTTTCTGCATAAACTTTTATCTTATTGGCACATATCGATATTCATTTCCTTCACTCACACAGAGTTTCCACTAATCACTGCAAGCAGACATGAGAATTTCATATCTGGTATCAATTTTTTATAGATAACAGCAAAACACTGTAGATATCTCTGGTTTAAATCACCTTTATGAGAACAATGTGTTGGGAACATTTCTGGTGTTCCCCATATGACACTGCTGGAATGTTGCTATAAGCATGATAAACCCATACTCACTCATTCACTAAGGAAATCCCCAAATTTATTCAGAAAAGATGTGTAAAGAAATTATGATGAATTCAGCCTTCATAGTAATATCATGGAGTAATTATTAACATCTTTGAGCAGCATTTTAGAAGTTGGAGAGATGAAGGAAAACAAAGTTCTATAGATAGTAAACTTCTTTAATGCAAAGATTACGGCATTTTGGTTTTCATACTCAAACACTGTTATCATGCAAGTGAAGTAGACAACACTTTTGTAGTCCTCAACCCCAACGATGACACCTCCTCGACCACCTGAAATCCCAACATCCCCGTATGCAGTTCACAATGGAAGAAGAATCTGACAACAAACTCTCGACATCCTGGTACAGAAAGGAGACAACAAGCTCTCCACCGCTGTGTACAAGAAACTCACTCATATCAACCAATATCTCAACCTTATCTCCAACCACCCTCTACAAGTTAAGAAAGGAATCATTTTCACCTCTACCTGAAGTGCCAAGAACATCTGCTCGACAACAGAAACCCCAAAAACTAAGCCACCTCTGCCATATCTTCATCCATGATAACAAGAACCATCAGAAGATGGCATATCCCCCCCCGGCCACCACATATTTGAAAGAACAAATCATCTGACAGTTACTAAGTTACTAAGTCCAAGGTGCACGGCTTGAGTTCATGTAGCAAGGCAATCTTGCCCGAGTATGCCTAACCTGGAGAAAAATCCAGTGCCTCCGTGTCCATAGAGGGAACTGTCAATATACCCTCAAGCATAGAAAGCTGTGCGTCCGTAATAGGATAAATGCCTTGATGATCCGCCACCGTAATATCCGAAAATATTGGAATAATTGGAGGATTGTCAATATCAATATGGTCAACACCGGCTGGTGTTATCACAGCCGTGGAGTCCGACGGCCTCGTCGTAACCGCTGGAAGCCGTAAGTGTACTATCCAAGCCAGGTCGCGGACGTCGATGCCGTGGCCTTGTCCGGGACAGTGGATTTATTAGCCAGTTGGGACTGGGACAACGCCGTGGCTGTCGCCAATTCCTCAGACTGAGCTTGAGGAGCCGTGGAATAGTCCGTGACAAACCGACAGTTCTCTACAATTTTTGTTCCTGATTAGATACGGATGGCTGCTCGATCCGAGAAGTGGCTATTGAGGGTTTCAATTCCTTAAGTTTACTAAAACTCCTCTGTTCCAGATCTTTAAGTGCCGATCCAAATGAAGCATTTAAATCCACCTTAATGATGTAAGCATTGATGATAGAGAAGTCAAATCTAATGTTTGTGGAGTAGCAGTGTGTTTGGGGATAGAAGGCTTACTGCATTTGGACTTTTTAGCCACATCAGAGGAAGACGACTTACGTTTTTTAGCCCGTAACCTAGCGTCTTTCATATGAATCCAGTCAGTTTCTGATAAGACCTGGCACATCAAACATCGGGATGATAAAGAACAAAGGGGATCCGTGGCACATGTTAAGCATAATGAGTGAGGGTCCTTATCCGATTGGAAGCGTTGACAGCCAACACACTTCTTTTGAGACATGTTATGAAAATATCCTACCAACGCGCACAAGTAGCAAAATGGCAGGAAAAACTTGAGCAAGTCACAATCAATTATTTGACACCAATAATAGTTTAAAGTTAATAAATACGATGGTACAGAACCAAATGCGATAGCACTAACCAGTTGTGCCGCCGTAGAAGGTTGAACATGTACGCATAAGCTTGAAATCCAAGGAAGTCAAGAACCCGTCTTCACGTGGTGAGTACAGAGGTAAAATATGACACATGTTGGTTATCACTGGCAGAAGAGCGAGTCAAGGGAGGTAATCGAACGGGACCAGGTGTTATCTAGGTAAGGATTACTTCCCTTTGTTGTTAAATTTTTTAGCTAAGGGAGGCTGTAACACATCACCAAGTGATGGAGGAAAAGGCTAACACAACCCAGAGGGAATGTTTACGCCTATAATTATCTGACAGTTACTAAGTTACTAAGTCCAAATCGTTTCCATGGAAATCATGAAAAATATAAATGCCAAAAATCTGTAAACAGCAAAAGGCACCACTTCAAGATCTGCCTCATATACTAGTATCTGCCAAGTTTTGCTAAAAGATATTGAAACTGTGGTTGTCATTGCTTGTTTACCTCTTAAACGGAAGCTGTGTAGTACACAAGTACGCATGCCTCCCCTGTCAACCGATGGCAATGCTAGACATATTTAGAGTGGGGTGTCCTATTTCGTCATTGAAATACTATGAGTTGTAAAGTGGTTTATAGAAAAACTCATTCGTCCAATCATGCAACAAAACGTCACAATACGACCCAAGTATTACAGGTTAGCTACTTTCTAATTGGCTGAAAGAGGGAATTCCTTGAGTTGCATTTGCATACAAACACGTGACTTATGGAAGGCGGGTAAAATAGAGCTACAGTTACAGTGGTTAATAATAATACTTCCAAGAATAAATTTTTTGTTTCAACCTTAAGGAAATGTCTTTGTTCACCCTTCAACATAAACTAAAAGTTATTAAAAAAAATGGCATGCCATGAAAATAAATCTACCAGCGAGGTCACATGACTAGTAGCGTGATCTTGTAAGGTGGGATGTCAACTAAGCAGACGAAACATTAATGGCATCTTTGGAGTAAAGATTTAGGATTTTTGTGCATTTGATTATGAGGTAGATATTGCATTAAGGATCCCTGAGTTAAAATTAATCTTTTGTCGGGTTTTTATACTGTTGCCTACACATGGCAAATTGATTCGTAGCATATCGATGGCAGAACAATAGCAGGGATCGCCTTGTTGTCATTCGGGATGCTTCTCATGGATTTTCTCGCATTTTCGCACTATAAACGGGAAACGTAAGTAACTTGCTAGCGTTAACAATTGACACATGCTGACAACATCCCGGAAGTTAGTTTGCTAACGTAGGTATTTGACTATGAAATGACCGTCCAAACGATTATAATCGATCAATTATCGATCTGACACTAGCAATTATCGATCTGACATAATGTAATGATAACCAGCTCTACCATATGCACCAGCGTGAACGTTAAAGGTGATGGTGAAGGCTGTACTGGATAACTGTCTCTAAGTGAAATACACAATGTAAGTGTTTAGTAACAAGAACAGCTCCCATAGCACATAAGACATGCGCTGTCAGTTTAATGGTGCGGTCCCAGTGCCGACCTTACGCTACTCGACCTTCTCGACCTGAAGGTCGAGCTGGGGGTCGAGTTGGTCGAGTTTCAGAACGAGTTAGGTCGAGTCAGGTCGTGTCAGATCGAATCAGGTCCACCAAGTTTTTGAATTTTTTTCAACATGTCATAAAATTTCCCCGACTTCCTCCTCGACCTTCGGTCCGTGATGTGGTTGAGACCGGGTCGAGAATAGGTCGAAGAATAGATCTGTGTTGGCCCCGACGTTGACCCACGGGAACTTGTAGATGAGGGACCCGCTTTTGGGAGGCTTCTTGATGCTTATGTGCTTGCCATCAAACGCACCGGTGCAATATGGAAATTGTCACCTTTCCTTAAAAGCACGGGCTACAGTATTCCATCTGCTCTGATCCACTCATCTAACCGACACTCAGCTTTGAAGGCGTCAAGGATGGGATTGATGTGCTTTGGAGGAGGTATCAGAGGCAAGAATCACGGATTGGTCTCCGTATTAGGGAACCCCCTCCTCGCCCATTCCCCTATACTCCTCCCGTCGAGCAGTCCCAGTCTGATGCCTTGGCGACCATGTCATGGGCAATTAATTGTTCCCACCTTCCCCTGCCGATGTACGATGGGAAAGATCCCATAGCAGCAACTGCTTGGCTTCGCCGCTATGAGAAATTTGTATCTGCCCAAAACTATTGTGACGATGACCACCGTGACATCTTCCCACTGTATATAAAGGGCATTGCAGCAAAATGGTACGAATGTACCAAGAATACTGCATTAATATCATGGTCGGAGCTACGAGCGGCCTTCCTGCGTCGTTATTCCCCGTCCTCCATTAGCCTCCTTACCCGACAAAATGCCCTTTTAGACCGTAAACAAAGGGTGGGCGAACAATTCTCGACTTTTCTCCAATCTATTCGACATGAAGCTGAGTTGTTACAGAGAAATGATGACCCGTACATAAAGGATCTCATAATCCGTAATGCCTTGCCCCATATCCGCCAGTTCATTCTTACACATCCCCATACTTCATTAGACCAAGTGATAGAGAGCGCTGAGATCTCAGATGCGACATCTGGGTTGTCTGACGTCAAATCTGATCAGCTAATGTCAGCAATTAATGAACTTACCATAAAGGTTAATGCTCTCCAACCCCCCACATCAATGCCGTGACCTCTGGCCACGAGTCTGTACCATATGACCCACACTTGTACCAAATACATTACACAGCCGGTCATTCCAAGGGTTATGGTAGGTATGCCGACCACAATATCCAGCATCAAAATTCATTTCGGACAAGCCCAATACTCCATAACAAGGAACGTCCTTCACTCCCAGGCCCTGATACCTAGCCTCCATTCCCCAAACAGTTCCGGTGTAGAGCTTACGGATACTTCCACACATCTCCCCAAGAATGTAGGGCCCAATATCTCCGTTGTTACAAATGCAACAAGCAAGGCCATCTTATCCGTATGTGCCCTAGTCAGACACAATATAGAC